CGGTCTCTATGAGTTAGGGTTGACTCGAGGGCTGTGAGATTGGTTTTGTTCGGAGCCTGCAACAGTGAGGAACGGATCTGTCGTCCAAACAAAACAAATCTTTGGGATCAGTATTATGACGACAGAAAAGCCTTCTTAGTCCTATAGTTGTCTTGGTCTCTGAGGGCACAGTCATAAATCAAACATGGCTTCTGGGAGCCAGCGTACCCCATGCTAATGGCACACCCTTCACTGGGTGGTGTGTCTCAGTGACTGCCATGTCTTTGTCCCTTTTAAGTCGTAAGAAGTGTTCTCCTTAAATTTAAAGAAAAAAAGAAAAGGACTTCTAAGGGGATCTGCTAGGCCAGTTAAATTCAAAGCAGAGAGATCAGCTCAGAGAGTTGGGGCAACTATCTTTTGGGATTCCAAAGGGGTCAAATTGGTAAATTTTCTCAAAGGTCACAGGCCGGTAATGGAAGTTTATTGGAAAGAAGTTTGAAAAAAATTAAAGTCTTCATTGGTGGAAAAAAATAAAAAAGCCCAAGAAAGTTGTGCCAAGTTAAAAAAAAAATCGAGTATAGCTGGATCGAAGGGGGAAAAAGAATTCCATCTCAATAATGCCCTTGCTCATTCTTCAAGGGCAGTGAGAGCTGGTCCATGAGAACGTCCTTGGGAAGCCTTCCCCCATCTGCCCTATGGCTCTGATCTAGCCTCTTCAGACTTTCCTGTTATTAAAACGGAACGGACATTGAAAAGGAACATGATTTGAGACCTTCAAGGATGACAGACTGCAGTTTGGACCAGGTATAAATAACAGCACACATCATTCTTCAAGAAAGGGCTAAAGAGCTAGAACAACTACTTTCAGACAGGTATAGACCTAGATGGAGAATGTAATGAGAAACAATAGCTTCACATTTTGATATTTTTATTTGCTGCAGCTTTCTATGCTTGTTTATCAATACTTTTTGACTGATCCTCATAGACCAAGAGGCAGTTGTTGGAACAGAACAGGGGGATGCCCCGCGGTTTAAAGCCAGCGACCATGTGTGTCGGGGTTCTGTTCTCTCAGCAGCTCTCCAGGCTGTGCTGAGTGGGTCGTCTGAAAGGCTGGGCTGTGTGGGGAAGGGCAGCTCACCAAGCTGGAGGCCAGCTCGTTAACAAGAGGCCTTGAAGCACTCACTGATGAAGATGACAGACTACAGCCTTCAGTGTACCGTACATCTCAACAGAAAGACATGGACAATCCTCACAAGGGGACTAATAAGCTACATCAGGATAAACGGAAAAATGGTGGAACTTGCCAAGGATTTTATTTGAACTTTGATCCATAATCAATGCCCATGGAAACAACACTCAAGAATTCAAATGCTGTATTGCATTGGGCTACTCTGCTAAAAAGGACCTCCTCTTAATGTGTTAAAAAGCAAAGGGGTCACTTTGAAGACTAAGGTATGCCTGAGCCCAACCCACAGTGTTTTTAAACACTTCCTGTGCATGACAGCTGAGCAGTGGAGGAGGTAGACTACAGAAGAAGTGATGGCTCTGTGGTTTTGGGGAAGAATGCAGACCATACCACTGGCTGCCAGAAGAATAAACGCAGCTGTGTTATCAGAAGTACAACCAGTGTTCCTTAGAAGCAAGCGTGGCAAGTCTTCATCTCGACACATCGTCAGGAGGAATCAGTCCCTGGAGAAGGACATTACACTTGGGAAAGTGGAGGCAAAGACCCTCAATGAGATAAATGGACACAGTGACTACAACAAGGGGTTCAAATGTAAGGGTAATCATGGCGCTGGCATGCTTCCTTCCGGTGCACATAGGGTCACTGTTAGCTGGGACAGATTCTATGGCATTAGACGGAGTTCTCCAGAGAAGCAAAACCAACGAGGCTTGCAAACATCCTTATCTACATCCACATCGATATCCATGTCCCCATCTACACATACACAGATTACACATAAGTACATCTGTATGCACATGCAGGCATACAGATAGATCGATCGAGAATGAACCTTCTATCAAGAGAATGACTCACACAGTTGTAGAAGCAGGGGACTTCCAAGTCTGTGGGTCACATGTTAGGCTGGAGGCTTCTCCTCACTTAAGTAGCTGCAGGGATGGATGAGCAAGATTGGCAAGAAGAAGACAGGCTGGAATCCAAAGGCCAGGTCAAGCTTGTAGCTGCAGAGATGAATGAACACAAGGTCAACAGGTCAGATGACGGGCTGCTGACAACTCCCAGGATCAGCAGGCAAAGTGGCAGGGCTTGAATGCAAGTCAGATAAAAAGCAAGTAGGATTTCCCACGGTGCCCACTTACGTTGGAAGCCGGCCACAAGCTTCCTTTCAATTGATTGAATCAGGTCAGAGTAAAAGAGTTGCATCCCACCCTAATCTCCTTATAACTGATTGGCTGCTCATAGCAAAACCCATTATGGAAGTGATTACAGTACATTGAACTAGGTCACATCATGGGGCTATTCTTAAGTCTTACATGCCAAACCACTGAGAATCCTGGGCCAACCAAGTTGGCCCCAAACCCAAGTATCACAGCATTTAACAACAACAACAATCTTTATAAGGCAGACTGCCACATCTTGCTCCCGTAGATCAGTGGCTGGGTTCAAACGACCAACCTTTCAGTTAGCCGCCAAGAGCTTAACCACTGTGCCACCAGGGTTCCTTACCTGTAAAACAGGGTTCGTGAAATCTATTTCATGTTGTGATCATGAAAATCCAATTAGGTAATGAATGTGTCAGAACACAGTTGGTAAACTGCAAAACCCTATACAACTGCTAGGAAGGCCACGCCAGCTTCCCACAGTTCTGGAATCACACAATTGGACACTGGGTTATCCATTGTGTGCCGCACATAGCTCCCCGTTGTACAGTTTCCTGAAGTAGATACCTCCCTGCCGTTTACTTGGTTTCTCTTCTGTGCCAATGGGTAAAAACAAACAAAAACAGTAATGATGTTTTTAACTGATCAACCAACAAGATAAAGAAGAACAAAATAGGGAGTTTTTTATAGAAGGAAAAAAATCCCATTATATACTTCCTAGTTTAATGGTACTGAAATATATTTTCATTTAGGAAATGATCGGCTGGTAGATGATTTTTTAGGTTCTACGTAAGCTCGGTGTCAGTTTTCATCTCTTAGAATGTCCAGTGGCCCTGTGGATAACAGAATGAAACACGGCCCGATTCTGTGCCATCCTTACCAACAAAATTTTTTATTTACTGGTTAGTAAAATTCAAGAATCTTGGAAACTTCCTTTTCTATGGCACTGAGTGCAGTGCTTGGCACCTACCAGTACATCTACCTTAAGATTATTTACTCACTGAGGCCAGACATTACTCAGGAGCGTCTCTCATGAGCCAGTCAGGAACCATCCATCAGGCTGAGCGCTGGGGCTACAAACAGCACATCCAACAGTTATGTCCTTGTGTTGACAGTCGGGCTCACGGGTTAGCAAGGGTGAAAGAAAGCCATGACCCTTGCACAATACTCATGGTG